ACAGAATCCTCTGGCTGCCCTCCATTGCTGTAATAAGGATGACAGTGATCGTGTTTCACCTGATAGTCTATGGGCTTTCTCATAGCTCCTGGTGAAGGATGGACCATGGATAATTCTCAGCAGGAGAGGCACAAGGCTTATTGCAGCTTAGTAACTACACTCTGGGTACATTATACTGATGAAACAATAGGAGTGGAAAACATGACTGTATCCTACTACAACAGGCTGTGTTTTCTATCAGACTTGGTGGATCTTCAGCTTAGCTCAACCATTAACCATTTCATTTCCATGATCTTACACAACATACACGACAACCGACTTCACCTCTAGAAGTACTGCCCTGGCTGCAAGAATCTTTGGATCATTCCGACCTGGTGAAAGGCACTATAGAAATGCAGGTCTGCATCATGCATTCTAACTCTGTCTGGGAACCCAAAATGGAAACTATTTCTGTTCAACAAATCAACCACTGCGATGAGCTCATGTACGTAAAATGCAAAATGGAAAAATGGAAAAATGAAGGAGCATGTCATTCAGATACTCAAACTCATCGACCGATTATAGAGAATGAAGTAAAGTGCTGTGGCTGATTGACTGACATTCCGAATAAACAGGGAACTGTGCTACAGACTGGTCTGGTTTAGTCACCCTGTCTGAAAGTTCAGATGGTGTTGAGTCAGAGTCAAATTATGTCCAGAGAAAGTGTTTACCCCATCAAACTTCCCATATGTTTTGCTTTAACTCTGCTTCATGGGTTCCATAATTCTGTTGTAAGGCACATAATTTATTTTGGTTTTTAATGTTAAATAGAAGATTAAATCCAGACCAAAAAAGGGTCCTTTTTTATGTCAGACTGACATCAGAGTGGGGAGTGTAGACTGATGATTTAAATAGCACACTCTGGGTGGCCAGGCAACTGAATGGTACCAACTAACAGACAGGGCTGTCATTAACTTTCCTCTATAGGCCTGACCTTCACCATATTAATCTCAGGAAAAAAACATCCTCTGTCATTCAGTTCCACACAAATTAGCTCGGCCAAGTCACTCTTGATGTAACAGTGGAAGGGGTGATCTCTCCGTAGGGTATGAAAACAGAAAACTGTTGGAAACCATTCAGTAGGTTATCCGTGGAGAGACAGACGGAATCTTCCGGACCTTTGAGAGGTGGGGAAGGATCCTGACGTGGCCAATTAATGACCAGTTACTCCTGCCCTGGCTGTGATTTCCTCAGCTCGAGGAGGGGCAACTGACAGATGTTCAACTGGCAAACTTTTGGGGGCTCCATGTCAGTTGGCGAGGGTGGGATTCACAATCTGTGATCAGTTCCGCATGGTAGAGGGAAGGCGTGAACATGGGGCAGGGGAGTGGTCGCTGATAGCTAGCTGTCCTTGCTGCTGACTCCCATGAGCCTCATCCCATTAGACCCCAACCCACCCTCAGCAACACTGACCTTTCCCCCTGATCTCTCCTCCATGCTGGGAGTCGAGGAGTGATGCACGGTTTGTAACCAGGGCTCTCCTCCCTGATCCTGATGAATGTTGCAGACCCCTGACACCCACCTTGCGGCTATGATTCCATCTGATACCATTCTGAAAACATCTCCCCTCACAGATGCTGCCTGACTGATCAGTTTCCCGACATTTCCATTTTTATTTCAAATTGCCCCTATTGGTAGCTAGGGGTCCCTCGAAAGAAAGACTTACATTCACAGCCCTTCTGTGGCCTCAGCACGTTCCAAAGTAGCTTTTTTTGGAAGTGTGCAGTCCCGGATGTACCGAGGGAAACATGACATGGGGTGTAAGGGAAGGCCGGATAAGCCAGCTGGTCTTTTCCTGCCTGTCGATTTTGGATCTGTGAGGCTACAGGAAAATGCAGGGTACTGCTGGAGTGTGAATGATTTACCAGCTCTGTTTTCCTTTCCTGGTATGTTGCCACCAAGGCTGGCCTTCATGAGGGAGTCTAGACAAATCCCACTTTGTCAGGCATGCCTGGCCTGTATCAGTACCAACTCCATTTACTTGAATCGCGCCCACTAGAAGTGAGCTGGCACGAGACACATTTCAACAGGAACACATTCATAGCTTCATTTTTAAGCCTCAGAGAGAGGTCCATCCAAATGTCTGAAAAAATGGCGCTGAAGAAAGCAAAGCTCTCATTTCCACAGCACCTTTGCAAACTTAAGACGTCTAACGAAGTCATGGAACTGTAGGGTCATACTGCATGGAAACAGAACCTTCGGTCCAACTTGTCTGTGTCGACCAAGTTTCCCCAAACTAAACTAATCTCAGTTGCCTCCGTTTCCTCTATAACTTTCCTGTTCATGTACCTGCCCAAATGTCTTTCCAATGTTGTAACTGTAGCTGCACCTACCCCTTCCTCTGGCAGTTCATTCCACACACGCACCGTTTTGAAGCAAAGTTGCTGTTGTGACGTAGATGTCTTTTGGCAGCTAATTTGTGCACAGTAAGATTCCACATAAATGTAGCTTTATCGTATATTGGTATTTGTTGGATAATAAATTTTTATCCAGTGAGGAACTCTGTTGCTCTGTTTTAAATGCTGCTGTGGTGTCTTATACAGCCACCTCACAGGGCATATCGAAGCATCAGTTAACTCCTCACCTGAAAGGTGGAAATCCCAACAGTATAACACCCTCTCAGTACTACACTGGAGTGTCACCCTGGATTTTGTGCCCGATTTGTATAGGATGGGACTTGAACCTTGAAATAACTGCACAGAGGCTGGTAACCCATCACCAAGTCACTCTTTATTTACATGCGCTCAGTACATGGGCTCTGGCCAGCCAACTCAGAGCCAGTTCCTAAAATGAGGATCCTCCCTGAATCTCCTGTTTAAAGCTGTCAGCCAGGGCTCCCTGTTTAGCCCAGTTTAACAACCCCAATCAGACAGCACATACTCAATGAGATCTACCTGTCCATGGTTCCAATCAGTACAAACTACAAAAGATTGACGTTTCAGAGAGATCTTGAATAATGACAGCAAACCCAGGTATGTCTGCAAAACTGGTGGCCATGTAGGCAAAAAACAGATTGTGCATTGCACCTACTCCATTGGGGTTGATGCTGGGAGCATCATAATTATACGATTCCTACTGATCACTTGACACTTCTCAACGTCCCTACACCCCAACTGGCAGGTCATCACCTGGAACAGGCAAAAAACACCAAGAAAATTCAAGAGAAAATAGGAAAAATATGCCCTGGAAAATAACTCTCTGACTCCCACAGATGTTCAAAACCAGGTCAGGCTATAACATGGAGCATAAAGCCTTACTTTCTATTTAACAGCCAGTCCAGCTCCCTCTTGAAGACACAGAATTCAATTTTATCTCTTTCAGTTTGTATAGTGTGGGGATCCTACAGCCCTCTAGGATCTTTATCCTCTTCAAATTCTGACTTCATCTGTATCCTTTGAATATCACCATCATTCCATTGGAGGCTGTGCCTGCAGAAGGTTCCAGGCCTCCCTGAGAAAGCTCCCTGCCTCTCCCTTCTCCTTCTACCTGCTTGACCACACTTAGGGCCCTAACATCTACTTAGTGGGCTCAGTATCAAATTATCTTTGCATTTTGCCAGCCAGAAAGTAGATTGAGATATTCAATGGTGGCTGAATAAACACAAGGTTCTCTGTTTCTTGATATTATCTCCTGTGACGTACCTTGGGATGCTTTTAATAAACTATATAAATTCCAGCTGTCGTTGCCCTGGGTTCTGTGGGTCCTTCACTGCAGTGAGATCTCTCAAGAGTCCCTGGTTGAACGGGCGAAACGTTGAATTTATTGTTGACAATGCAGTAACCATCGAACACACAACAGGAACTTTGACTGAGAAATGAAAATGCATGAGGTCATCTCATGAATGTTTCTCTTGAGTTCCACCTTCTCGGCAAGTGCTTGATACTGAGCACGTTGCCAAGGACCCCACAATGATGGACATTGTATACGCTGTGCTCTCATGGGAAGGGTGCAACCAAGTGGAGGGATGTAAACGGAGACTGTGTGAGCTCCCAGTCACTGGGCAAATGAAAATATGTGTTGTTTCCCACGTAGCCTTTCGTAATGTGGGTTTTTACATTATTCTAACCGGTTTGAATTGGAGCCCACTTTTGTAAGCTGCAAGATTCAGCCTGCAATCAGCACCTGACAATTCTGAAGTTTGTTAGTATCACAGAATCCCTCCAGTATGGAAGCAGGCCATTCAGCCCATCAAGTCCACACAGACCCTCCAAAGAGCATCCCATCCAGAGCCATCCCCTTACCCTATTCCTGCATTTCCCTCGGCTAATCCACCTAGCCTGAATGCTATGGACAATTTCGTTTGGCCAATCCACCTAGCTTGCACATCTTTGGGCTGTGGGAGGAAACCGGAGCACCCGGAGGAAACCCATGTAGACACGGGGAGAATGTGCAAACTTCACACAGACAGTCGCCTGAGGCTGGAAATGAACCCAGATCCCTGGCACTGTGAGGCGGCAGTGCTAACCACTGAGCCACCGTGCCACCCCTTATATTTCTGTTTATAACCACAAACAGCACCTGGGTGTCATTCCTTGGTGTTCAAAGAAGGTTGCAGGGAGTATCAGGTAGAAATCCAATTTATCCCCTTGGTAGAATATTATCACCCACACCCAAGGCTGTACAGATTGAGGGACACTCTGTCTGCCAGTTCTGACGATGCTGAGGTAAGGACAGTGGCTAGGTTCAGACTGGGTTCTGAATGGGGAAATGCCGCCTGGCAGAGGTCAGGTAAGGACTACGTTGGGCTCAGATGTGGGACTGCCTCACCTAGCTGAATAGCTTATTCACCAAGTAGACTAAACCCTGAATTGGAAGGGGGTGGGTGCCCAGAAAAAAGTGGCTGGGAGCCACCTGAAGACGACTCCCTGAAGTAGTTTCTCTGGCTGGGAGGGGGATTTGCAGAATGAAGGCCCCTACACGGGTCATTAAGCAAGAGGTGGAGGGTAACATTTTGCCTGATGATGGGAACCACACCCCGCCCTTTGGTGTTGACCCCAGCTGTACGCTGGCAGCACAGGCAGCCCATTGGAGCCAAGCAAGACCAGAAAACAGCCAAGGCTGCCCATGGTAGGATGGCCGCCTGTGGTAAGATGGCTGCCTGCGGTAAGATGGCCGCCTGTGGTAAGATGGCTGCCTGGGGTATGGTGGCTGAGACTACACTGGAAAGTAGGCTCAGGATTAGTGTCCCTAAACCCTGCAGTAAAAATTCAGCCCTTAGTGGCTAGAGGCTGCTCAGACAAAATCGAAGAAAGTGACCATAACCCATTGGGACCTTTTCAAGATTCCTAACTCAACAATTTCTGACAGCACAGGCGCCACATTAAAATGCTGAGGGTGTTGCCTGGCCTGTTGAATATTTCCACGTTCAAATTACAGGCACTTCAGAACAACTTCTATCAGTTCAATGACTGTGGTGATATGACATGCTCAGCGACTGGTTTACATACAGGAAAATTCCACAAAAACAGCCAAGCGATAAGTAGTCACTGGTGCCTCGGATGTTACTAGCCTCAGTGTCAATCCATATCGCACAAAACCTCGGTGAGAATATAGTTACAATGCCAAATAAATGCAAATTCTTGTCAATGTGGGTATCTTACGTGCTTCAGGTTTAAGGTGTTCTGTCAGTCAGGGCAGAGAGGGTTGGAAGGGAATTCTATGTCAGTTTAGAACAGGAATCGGTGAGGCTACCATGCCAATCAGGGAATGCAACAACAACTTGAATTTGTATACTGCCCGTTAAATTAAACTATGCCCCAATCCCCCGCGTGAAAGCATTGCCAATTGAAATTTGACGCTGAGCCACATGGTGTTAGACGAGTGACCAAACACTTGATCAAACAGTGACGGTCTTGCAGAGGAGAGAGAGGAGGAACAGGTTAGGGAGGGGATTCTCAAGCTTAGGATGTCTGGAGCTTGAACTCAGAACATTGCAGGCGTGGCCAATATAGGGAGGGGAGGGGGCGCTGAGAGATTTAAATGCGAAAGGTGAATTTGAAAATCCACTTTACCCTTAGTGTCTGGAGCCACACAAAAGGAATGGTGATTTGGGAACAGATGTGACGCTCCGTTAATGATGAGGAGAGGAAATGACGAATGAGGAGAGTGAGTGTTGACGGTGGGCGAGGGGCATCGTAGAGGGCATCAGCACCGAAAAAGGCTCTTCAGCCCATCAGGTCTGGACTGGTCAAAAACCACTGCCTGACTATTCTCTTTGCAGAAAGAGAGGAAAAAAGACTGTAAAGTGGGTCTTAATATTCTCACCAAGAGCAGTCATTGCTGGAAGAGTGAAAATGTCATTTTACTGGATTTTCTGTACCAAGTGCTGACTTCCACTGGTTAAATGTTGTTGATAATTCTTTCAGTCATTTGGCCTGATCTACTAGATTTGTGATTGCACAGGGAGATCTGATCTTGCTGACAACTCCTTGACCATGGTCTTATCGGTTGCTGTAACTCAAACAAAAGGCTTTTCCCCTTCCAAAAATTCTTGAACAAACCTCCGAACAAGATGGAACATGTATGAGTCTTTGTTTCTGACTGCATTTTCGGAAGAAATTCAAACTATTCTCTCTCAAGACTAATTCCCTCCTCACCTGGCAATTCCAAGTGGAGGGCTGGAATTTTTTTTTACATTGGGCATCTCTGGCTGGGCTAGCAGTTATTGTCCATTTTGAACTGCCTTTGAGAAGGTGGTAGGGAGCTGCCTTCTTGAAATGCTGCAGTTCTTGGGGTGGAGGTGCATCTACAGTGCTGTTAGTGAGGGGGCTGCAGGATTTTGACCCAATGACAGTGAAAGAACAACAATATAATTCCAAGTCAGGATGGTGAGTGTCTTGGAGGGGAACTTGCAGGTGGTGATGTTTCCTTGTATTGCTGCCCTTGTCCTTCTAGATGATAGAAGACACACCTTTGAGACGTTTTATTGAAACAGCCTTGTAGTGCATCCTGCAGGTGGTACACACTCCCACCACTGTGCATCTGCTATGAAGGGAGTAAGTGTTGAAAATCCAGGACGCATTTCTTTGACCTGTTCCAAAGCACAAGCCAGGAGAGTGACAGAATACTCCCCACTTGCCTGGATGAATGCAGCTCCAACAATACTCAAGAGGTTTGATACCATCCAGGACAAAGCAGCCCAATTGATTTCACACCACATCCACAAGCATCCACTCCCTCCACCACCAACGCTCAGTGTGTACTATCCACAAGATAGAATGCAGAAATTTACCAAAGATCCTTAGACAGTATCTTCCAAACTCATGACCAATTCCATCTAGAAGGGCAAGAGCAGCAGATACATGGGAACACCACCACCTGCAAGATCCCCTTCAAACCAGCCACCATTGTGACTTGAAAATATATCACTGTGCCTTCAGTGTTGCTGGATCAAGTTTTTGGAATTCCCTCCCTAATGGTATTGTGGCTCTACCTACAGCACATAGTCTGCAGTGGTTCAAGAAGGCAGCTCACCACCACCTTTTTAAGGGCAGCAAGGAACGGGCAATAAATTCTGGCCCAGGTAACGATGTCTGTGTCCCATGAGTGAATAAAGAGAAACCTGGATGTTGAGCTCCTTGAGTGTTGGATCTGAATCCATTCAGTCAGTGGGGACTGCTCCATCACCATTTCTGAAATGCGCCTTACAGATGGTGCACAGGCTTTGGGATTCCTAGCCTCTGACTTGCTCTTGTGGCCACAGTACTTATAAAGCTGGTCCAGTCGCGTTTCTGGTTAATGGTAACCACCAGAATGTTGATAGAGGGGAGTTCTGGGATGGTAACGCCATTAAATGTCAATAGGAAATGGTTAGATTCTCTCTTGGTGAAGGTGGTCATCACCTGGAACCAATGTGATGCGAATGTCGCTTGGCAATTGTCAACCCAAGCCTGAATGCTGTCCAAGTCTTGGTGCTGATGTATATGGACTGCTTCAGGTTCATCAATGCTTCTGAAAGGATTAATGTTATTATAACATTGGCTTCAACCATTCTACTGATGTCACACATCGTCTGTAGGTAGAGACAAGGGAACCTTAAAGTGGTTTGGGCGATGTGGACTCAGGAGAGATGTATAGCAGGATCCGATGAGAAGTCCAGTGAGGCCTGTCTTGATGTCAGGAGCAAGGTATGCCATCGTTCATCAAAACTGTGAACAGTTTTGCTCCCCTATTTCGAAGGAAAGATATACTGGCATTGAGGCAGTGCAGAGAAGGTTCACTTGGTTGATCCCAGGGATGGAGGGCTTTTCTTATGAGGAGGGGCTGAGTAGGTTGGGCTCATTGGAGTTTAGAAGAATGAGATGTGACTTTATTGAAATATGTAAAATTCTTTGGTGACTTGACAGGGTCAATATGGAATGGTTGTTTCCCTCCTTGTGGGGGAGTCTAGGACTGGAGGGCATCATCTCAGAGTAAGGTGCCACACATTTAAGAGAGAGATGAGGAGGAATTTCTTCTCTCTGAGGGTAGTGAATCTATGGAATTCTTTACCACAAAGTGGTATCGAGGCTGGATCGTTAAGTATATTCAAGGCTGAGATAGATAGATTTTGAATCTGTAAGGGATCAAGGGCTATAGGGAAGAGGCAAGAAAGTGCAGTTGAAGATGATCAGATCAGCCATGATCTCATTGAGCAGCAGAATGGGCTTGATGGGCCGAATCACCTACTTCTGCTCCTATATCTTCTGCGTATCTGATGTGTGGCAGGTTGCTCTGGGAATGGCATGTGGACAGATGAGGTGGAAAGCAGACATGAGACATTCCATATGGAGGAGGCGGTGGTGGGAGCCGGGGTGGGAGTTGCTTAATTAATGCGGTGAGTTTTGTAAGATACAGAGAGAAAACCTGCTAGATGTAATGTTGAAAACCCCTCCGAAAAGCTTGGACATAACTCAGAATTAGCAACAAAAAGTAAGAGTTAGACTGAAAAATTCTACTCGAGCTTTTGGAGGGAACATATGTACTTTATATCAGCTCCTTAAGGTACTAGTCAGTATGCCTGGCCACATGTGGGTAACTTATTGCTATTGTGCAATAAACATTCTTGTTAAATAGGAACAGCATCCCCTTCTGTAGATACTGTACTATCGTGTGTTCTATACCACTAATCACAAGATAGGCTCAAGCCAAAGGAAAGTTAAATGGGTGTTGTGACTGTGGATGGTCTCAAATAACCTTTACCCCATACCACATAGAGATAAAGGTAGAAAATACTACAAAGTGCTAGGAGAGGTCATCAGGGCAGTCCAGCGCTACAGTTGAGGAATCATGAATTGTGCTGAACATGTGCGATCATTTGCGAACATCCCCACTTCTGACCTTATGATGGAGGGAAAATCATTGATGAAGCAGCTGAAGATAGTTGGGCCCAGGATACTACCCTGATGAACTCCTACACTTATGTCCTAAAGCTGAGATATCTGACCTCCAACAAACACAACCATCTTCCTTTGTGTCATGTATGACCCCAACCAGCGGAGAGCTTTCCATCTGATGCCCATTGACTTTGCCAGGGCTCCTTGGTGTCAAGGGCAGTCATTCTCACCACGCTTCTTGAGTTCAGCTCTTTTGTCCATGTTTGAACCAAGGCTGCAATGAGGTCAGGAGCTGAGTGGCCCTGGTAGAACCCAAACTGAATACTAGTGAGCAGATTGCTGAGTGGGAAGTGCCACTGTTGATGACACCTTCGATCACTTTACTGATGATAGGAGAGTAGACTGATGGGGTGTAATTGGGCGGGTTGGATTTGTTGTGTACAGGACATACCTGGGCAATTTTCCACATTGTCGGGTTGATATCAGTGTTGTAAGTGTGCTGGTACATCTTGGCTATGGGAGTGAGCCCATGTTTTCAGTACTATTGCAGTGTGTGCCAGGGCCCACAGCCTTTGCAATATTCGATGCCTTCAGCTGCTTGTAGAATACCACGTAGAATTTTGAATTGACTGGTGCCTGTCAGGACGTTGCGATGGATCATCCGAATGGCACTTCTGGCTGAAGATTGTTGCAAATATTTCAGCTTTATTTTTTGCACTGATATGCTGGTCTCCCCCATCATTGAGGATGGGGATATTTGTGGAGTGTCCTCCTCCAGTGAGTTGTTTAATTGTCCATCATCATTCA